ACCTCTACAGCGTCTACCAGGATGTCGACACGGAGTGATAAATAAACACGTTTTATATTTCAGGTGCCCAGAGGGTCTTGTCATGGAAAACCTGGCATTGTGATAAATTGACGACAATGTGGACAATTGGTGCCTTGTGTGAACAGCCAGATAAAGAGCAGACATTAATTGGCAGGTAGATTATTTAACATCCACCGACAATTCGTCTTCTTGCAACAATAATTCAGAACAATTAACGCACTCGGATGCATCCGAGCTCGCAAAGCATCAACCAGGATGGGTACCTCCAGAAAAACAGATCGGTGTACAATCAACTACTACTATATACTCGCGACTGCGAACTCGTGGCTCAATTTTCAGGAGGTTTACCGGAGAGACGCGAGTTCGAAACTTGTGTGGCAGCAATTTCAGCTGCAACACTGGAGTTGGGTACCTCTAGCTGACGACGGCTAATGAGCCAGAAATGACCATTCTAGAGTCCCATGTCTTGCCTGAATACTAATAAGCTTTACTTGTAAAGCACATATTCGGTGCCGTCAAAACCCCAGAAGGCAGGAAAATACCAAAAACAAGCCCCGTCCTTTGCAGTCCCTATTGGTTTTATTTTTGTCTTATGTTTGATCAAAAGTGTGCAAAGTAAGGAGTTTGTTTTAAGTTATAACTTAAAATTATAACGTAAAAATATGTTACTGAATTTTAATTAGTAACACTTGAGTAGGTTCAAAGGCGTGCAAATAAACTTGTGACCGGACAGGGCTCATTACCCTATGAAACACGGTTAGCTAATCTCGACCACTTTTCTTTAAGTTACAGGCACCTACGCGGTAATCTGATACAAACATTTCGTAAAATGCGCAGTCAGGACTGCTGTCTTCTACCTGGCGACTTCTTCGAGTTAGCAAAAACTACGAACTTAAGAGGGCATTCATTCAAACTATGTGTAAAAGGGGCCAGATTAAACACACGAAAGCTCTTCTTTTGTAATAGACTGGTTGAAGCTTGGAATTTTCTATCCCTGGGTATTGTTTTAATGCTTCCGTTGAAGTCTTTAAGGAGAAGCTAGATTATTATAGTAATGCTTACTCTTACGCTAGTTAACCGCTGTAGTCTTACTGCAGTCGAGGAAATATTACATTTCTTAGGGCATTAATTGTTTCGTATAAGTAATATTTAATTATTAAATTATCCTGTGCACTAAATTCATCCATATGCATGCAGCTCACTTATGTCGACCAAAAATGGATAGTTGCGATCGTGGCGGCTTCCCCTGTTTTCGTCGCGTTGATAACGGCCTCGGAAATTGGCAAGGGCATATCGTGGTCGCAACACCGGTTCTTCGGGATGTTCCCGTGCTCTGCAGTCTCCACCTCATATGATAATTCCGATCAAGATATAAATCGCGGTGGACCCACTGGCTTGCCATCGACATTAACAGCACCATGCCGATTTTATTTTTCACATAATACATAATAATTAAGTTGATTTGTAAAGAACATCTTCGGTGCCGACAAAACCCCGGAAGTCAGGAAATAACCTAAAACAAGCCCCTTCTTTGCAGTCACTATTGGCTTTGTTTTGGTCTTATGCTTGATCAGTAATGTGCGAAATAAGGAGTCTGTTTTAAGGGAAAAAAACTGATTCAAAAGGTACAAAACTAGCAAAACATGAAACATAATAGCCATAATTTATACTTATTACCGTTTCGTAGTAAGAATACGTTGGGTCTGGAGAATCTATCATTTGATTTAACTGAGGTGGATTTGGCCGCGGTCAGTTTGCAGGGTGAACACAATCAGCTGAGGCCATTGCATCGTCCGCGTGTACGGATTTGGCCAATAAGGAAATTAAATATTTATCCATCGGAACGATTTGATAAATAGATGGAACGTTGCAGATGTCTGAAGTGGATCGTTGCATCTGGAAACTGAAAGTTGAATAGTAAAAACCAGCGCCCCACACTGCCATTTCCTACTATCACCACAGCTACCTTCATGAATCCCATCCACCGAGAAATTTGCACGCGCTCGCCGTTGGTCCAGTAGGGGGTTAGTGATGTATTTGAAAAAAGTGTTTCAGTGACCTCGCCCAAGGTCGGCGAC